CGAAGGTTTTGGGTTGGGTGAGGGTTTTCTTTTGTACAACCCGCCTCTTTTGGGTTGGGTTTGGATTTTGGATTACACAACCCGTAGAACCCGACCCAACCCGTGTTCCAATTATTAGTATGAGTTCGAATCTAAAAAATATTTATGTAGTATATAGTCATATACTTATGAGAAAATTAAGATATTTCTCCATGTTTTTCTCTCATGGTCTCCCTAATCTAATGCATTCTTCAACTTAAAGTTTAGACATAAATTGAATATAGTTATGATTCACGTAATCCTTTTTCTTGTGTACAATTTTAATAGAATAACATATGATAGATGCATTTGTTTATAACATTTTTAGCCTATTTCAACAAATATCGTGAAAAAACAAGACATATGTTGAAGTAAATTACATTATATTAAAATTTAAACAACATTTGTGAATTTTCATACCTTTCACCTTGGTTCATTCGTTTGAAATTTTAATTAGTTATAAAATATTTTTATGATGTAGAATAATTATATATTTTATGTTGGGTTGGGTTTTTACTTAAAAATATCGTCAACCCGACCCAACCCAATTAGAAACAAACCGTAGGGTTTGAAATTTTTTGGGTGGGTTTGGGTTTGATATTTCCCAAACCGTAGTGCATGGGTCGGGTGATTAAAATGACTAAACCCGAACCACCCGACCCATGTACACCCCTACCCCTCTCTGATGGAGAGCAAAAAAAATCCCCTCTTTGGTGCAATAAAGCTTCTTCTGGATCTTCTCTGTTTTCTTCCCCGTCTCTTCATAATTCCATTCCCTAACCACAACGGCCTAAATAAACTCGTTCTTTCTCCTTAGAGACCGAAACAGAAAGAAGAACCAAAACCTTCCAAGCTTCCCCCTTCATTCATCTCTCTACCCCCTGCTAAAGCTTCCTTTTCCAGTCTTCCTGGCTCCTTCATCCAACCCTCTGCTAAAGCCTCTCACCTGCCTCTTCTTCTACTCTTTGTTGGAAGGGATCTTCTTAATCCCTCTGCCTCTTTGTTGGATTGGAATATTATCGAAAATCTGGGCCTGGTGGGCAGCAGGGGATTCGCTAGATCTAGATCGGCGACTGAGGTGGAGAGTAGCAAAAGCGGCTTAATCCAAGAAATGGAAAGACCTTGGAATCCCTCTTTCTCATCATCGATATCGTCAAAGTCAGACGGTGATGGGGAACCATGGAGGAAGCGGCGAGGGAGAATTCAGAAGTCATGGCGACAGAAGCTTGGGCAGGGGAACCATGGAGGTGCAGCGGGTATTCGAATTGACGAGATAAGGGGAGGAGAAGGAACGGAGCGACGGATGAGGAGGAGCAGGCGAGAGAGATAAAAGCGGGGGGGGGGGGGGGTGCGATTGTTGCGGCGACCAATTCAAGCACCATTCAGACATGATTTTCGAAGGGAATGCAAGAAACATGAAGAACTAGAGAAGATGGTTTTCAGATCTGGAAAGGAAAAAAAGGATAAACCCTTATTTTGTTTGAGTGGACAGTCATGGGTAGGTGGGTCAGTTTGATTCAAGGGTTGGATTGGGATGGACAAAATGATATGGCAGGTTATAGTGACATGGCATGCCGGATTTCATTGTTTTTGGGTTAAATTAGACTGACTAGACGATTCCGTCTACCACCTCTGCACATAACAGTCTTGGTTAACGGAGACTAACGGAGAGTGACCAAACTTGAACGGTTTTACTAATTTTAGTAACCACGAATGGATTTAAATATTTCGAGTGACCAAACATGAACGTTTTTTGTAATCTCAGTGACCAACCATGCAATTAACCCAACTTTGTAAGGGGGATCAATGAAAAAGGAATGCAATAAACACTTTGCTACTAGCTAGCAAATTTTTCTCATGAATTTTCGTCATAGTTGAAAAAATACGAAACGAGTAAATTATGTATCAAATATGTAAGGACATTTTATTTTGTCTTAAGTTAATGGTACATTAAATAATGTATCAATAGTAATAAAATCTATGCTGCTAATAATTTACAAACATAAATAAATAAATTATTTTCAATTTTTCAATTTAATTCATAAAATGAATATATTTATATATACACACGTATTAAACGAAGGATTTACTAACGATATATAAGCACCAGCATGGAGAAATGGACAGTGGGGGAATTCGGAAAGGTTGACGTGTTATGTGGTCGCGTGGGGTAAGGGCACTATATATGTCCATTGGTCGCCTGCTCCATTCATCCTAGTTCCTACCATAATAAATTTTTTTAATAATGTCCTACCATAATAATAATAAAATTAATAAAACAAGAAATGTCAACATAAAACCACGCTGGATTTCACCACCATGGGTATAAATGGTGCATGCATTTACTAGTGATCGCCCCACAGATTAACCCCACTATATATATGTACGAGTACACTTGCTATGTTAAATCAAATACACATTATCTTATTATATTAAGTGCAGTGGACTCTAGTGCGTATTTAAAGTTGATAAAATAAAAGAACATTTGATTTTTGGGATATCAAACTTTATTTGTTTTTAATATAGCATGATTAATATAATGTTGCAGGTGCCCTTCAAGTTTGGTCTCGCTTCGCCGTCATAAAATGTGGTGTATAGGTGAATATATATAACGTGTTTAAATTTTTTACGATTTTTGTATAAAAAAAAATCAGGGCAAAGTAACTACCTGTATGTAAATTTATGGGCTCATTGATTATTATGCATTGATCATGTTTGCCACGCATAAGGTCTGATCGATTCCAAGAATTATTAGATGTCTTCCAAGTTCCAAGTTATTATGACATCAAGCTAACTTATTGGGAATTATCGTTTTTTTACTTCCTGGTTTAGTATAGAGAGTAGAATGGCGATGTGTTATTCTATTTTGTACTTCAATGACTTGGTTTACACAAAAAATTAGTTGTTTTTTACAATTCATTAATTAAAAACCTTACGTATTTGAACTAGTTCGTCATGAATATTTTTAGAAAAAAAAAAAAAGATTTTTCCAAGCGAACCATGGAAGAAGTTACTTTTTCAATAGTGATGGTCGCAAAATTGGTTTTAATAAGTTAGGGAACTGAACGTTACAGGCTGGATTAGGGCTGGAGGTTTGGTTATTTCGGTTATAACCGGTAATCGAACGGTCGGTTACCGGTTAACCGCGACGCAAGGAAACTATACCGCCAACCGACCGACCACCTTCCTTGGTTATCCGACAACCGACCGGTCGGTTACAGGTTAGTTGGTCGGTTAACAGAGGAAACCGCACAGCCCAGACGGTTCGTGGATTGGAGTGGACGGTGGCTGGTGACTGGTGACTGCTCGGCGGAGGAAATGTGGCGGGGGACTGTCGCTGGCGGCAGAGTCGGGAAGCTGGTCGTGGAGGAGATGGCGGAGTAGCCGAGCAGGGGCACGGGTCGGCGAGGGAGATGGCATCGTCGCTCTGGTCGCGGCGTCGTCTGAAGTCACTAACTTACTGATGTTGCCTGGGAAGAAGAGAGAATGAGATGAATTGGAGGTCGAGGGACGAGATGGAGTCGGCGGAGGGTTTGCGGCGGGGGACTGGTGCTGGTGGCGGAGGAACAACGGCGGCCGTCGGGGGACTGTGTGGCTGGGCGGCGAGTGGGCGTCGTCGATGCAGAGAAGGGAAGGAAGGACGAAGTCGCTTCGGAAAATTGGGGAAGGAAGACGAAGTCGAAGCCGAATTAGGGTTAGGCAGCCGTCGTTTTGGTGAAACGCTGAAGAGTGAGAGGGGGCGGCGTCGTTTTTTGAAGGGGAGTTGGCCGTGTCAGTTAGCCGGTTAACCGCCACCTCCAATATCCCTACCGAGTACCGCCCGCGTACATCTTTTTCGGTTAGTCGGTTAACCGGTAACCGCCGGTTATCGGTCTAACCTATCGATTAACCGACAACCGATAACCGAACCTCCAGCCATAGACTGGATAGTGGATTGAGTTTTAGTTATTTAGATGATCTAGATTAGAAAACTGGTTTTAGTTAGTTAGATGGATCTACAAAAAAAAAATTCATAGCATATCTCTAATTCTCTGGTCAACGTATGCTTGTTTGAAGTAGAGAAAGTGATGGATAGAGTTGAAACTTACGACCATGATGTTACAAAGAAAAGAGCAAAGATATGAATCTTAGAAAACACCGACGAAGGTCTTGAATCGTGGATATGGTTAATTAGTACGTTGTTTGTATAGAATTGTACTTTCACAGACATGAAGCCTGAACTCCTCGAGTTCATTGAGTTGATATCTGTCTTCTCTAACTCGATTGATAAATGGCAAGTCTTCCCTAAACCATCCAATAAGGAGAAATCCCCATTTGAATTTTAATAAGCTAGCAACCCTCAAGCAGTACTTCTGATCCAAAAAATAATAAAAGTTGAAACTCTCATAAGTAATGTCAGACTCAATGTTCCAACCCAAGATACCGAGAAGCCATCCTCTAGAAGAGTTAAGAGTTAAATAAACGCATTACCATTGCTACTACAATCTCTTGGAAGACAACAAAGATCACATAAGCAAACGTATCAATACAAGAGAATTGCCTTACCTTAATCTATGTGTACGTGCTTATTGACATTGTCTAAATCCCACATAATGATAACTTGAAGTAAATCTTCTTTGAGAAGGTAAAAAAAGGTGAAGATGAGAAAAGGGTCAAAGAAAAGGATAAAAGAAGAAGAAGATGATGATGATGATGGGGTGAGTAGGGTGGGTGTTGGAGGATGGACTGTGCTGGTGACAATTACCCAAAATTTCTGTCCTCAAAATAATATTCTTTGCTTGAGGAATGTGTCTGCTGTTTTTGTAGGAACTTAGATAGATAGGGAGAAAGAGATCTTTGCACACTTTGCAGACACAAAGAGAAAGGCGTGCAGTGGAGACCATCATCATGTGTGATCCTTGTTTTTTTGGGAGGCTTCAAAAGATCGTGGAGGAGAGGAAGGGGGGCGTGCCATATTTCCACTCCACCACTCCCACTCATCATCGCCACCTTGCACTCCAGACTGCACCCATCAACGTTTCTCAACCAACCCCACCACCACCAATATATCTTACACTAAAATATGTACTTTCCTTTGGATCATCCACCAGAAGAAAATACTCACACAAGATTCCTTGAAGAAGAGGGGATGGATCCTCCCGAGCAAGTGCGCCGTGTGTGCTGCTAGCGAGGAAGATGCTACACACATCTTCATCACCTGCACCTATGCGGAAAAAATCTGGAATTTGCTTCGACCGTTTGTGTGTATTGGGACGATCCCGACTGACATCACAGAGACAATACAAACATGGCCGAGAAGGAAACCAGGTAATCCTAAAGAATGGTGTACAAAATCAATACTTCATGCAACTTGTTTGTGTATTTGGAGGGAACGAAATAAAAGCAGATTTGAAGGTGCATCACTACTGGAAAACGCAGTGGCATACAAGATTAGCAACATGAGAGCAAAATGGCTCCTTTTGTCGAACAAAGTGGAAAGACAGGTTGCGGTAGATTGGTTGGCATGTGTAAAGAGATGCCTGTGTGGAGCAGCCGAAGAAAGTAATGGAGCTGGACAACTTTAAAGGGCAAAAGGCAATACAGAACACATGAAAGGATATCAGTAGGGTGAAGATTCTCGGAGGAAGTTATGGATGTGAACGATTTGAATGACCTGATTTTCCTATACCCTAAGTGTCTCTTCTACCCAGCAGAAACTTTAAGGGCTTGATATGCTTGTCCTCTTTCTTCTTTATGTTTTTCCCCGCTTGTTCTAGGTCCTTTTTGAGGATATTTGCCTCTTTGTGCAACACTACGTTTGCTTTTTTTTTCTTCTTCTGTACTTCTATTTTAATTAATAAAAACTTAATCACCATTATAAATAAAAAAGTACATATAAGCAAAATTGACGTAAAAATTTACAAAAAATCATTGATCCAAACAAATTATACGCAACAGAATCGCAGGCTCATTCTTTATTAATGTTTCTGTTCATTGTTTTTATTTTTATTTTTATTATGGTGTGTTGGTTGGTCTGAATTATCGAATTTTCAGATGGAGATGGATGAAATGTCTTCTTTGTTATTCGCACAAACATGTTTTATTGAAACGTGCAAAATTAAACTTAAGTGACGGTTTTGCACTAAGTGCATAGTTTGTGACCGTTTATGCTAATTATCCTTCCTTTTATACTATGCCTATGTTTGGCCCGATTTTTATAAGTACTTTGTTGCTTCAAAAGTTGAAGTAGGACCAAACAGCTCTAAAAGTTAGGGTATTAAAAAGCTGATTAATACTTTTATATAACATAAAGCAGAAGCTCCAATTTACGAAGGCAACATACCCTGGTGGACTAAATGAAGGTCCAGGTGGATATCTCGGTACAAGTGGAGGATGATTCTGAGAAGACGGCTTCTAATGGGTATGTTTCCAATTCTTATATTGAAATTGATGGCCACAATTTTGAGTTGAAGAGCCGTTCTGCCCCTACTATGCGGACTGGTTCTATTGTACGATGGATTGGCCGTGTTTGGTGTGCTGTTGAAGCCCTTGAAGGTAAGGCATCAACAAAGATTGCGAATGGGTCTGGGCATGGATCGGCGAGTTCAGAAGAGCCCCATGGGAGCTGTCACAAGTGGCAGATGACATGACGCCAACAAGGTGACAACATGGCGGCTACACATGTGGCATGTATGGAAGACTAGTAGCATAGAGATGCTCCTAGGATTCTCCACCTTAATAGAGAGCTTAATGGTGCACTTATGAGTCACATAATGGGTGACATTTATAGAGTGCATAATGGGGGGACTTAATGGGTGTATTGATGTAGAGGGACATTATGAGGGGCATTGATGTCTTGTCTGAGGAGAGACCTATATAAAGAGCCATCTCCCTCACTTGTAACTCATTCCCTCATTTTTTAGAGCATACACACTAGAGAGTTCTCCCATTTCCTTTGTCTTTGCTTCCTTGTTCTTTGCTTGCTTGTGAGTTTGAGAGAAGGCTGCCTAGCGCTCTAACGAAATTGAGAGCTAGGGTCACACGATCGATGGTAAGGTCGTGACAAGTGGTATCAGAGCCCCGTTCGGCTTTGTGCTAGCAAAGTAGAAGCAATATCCAGACGAAAAGGAAGAGCCTCACCTAAAATGTCGGGATTAGAAGTCCATGACGATGCTGAGAAGCAGTGTGGAAGAGAGCCCACCCCGGGCTAGAGAGCAAAAGGTACGTCAAGCACTCGTGATCCTCTCAAGTCTCTAGAGAGGCGAGTCTCGAGGATGGAGGTGAAGCTTTCCGAAGATGTCACCGCCATCGAGGATTTGGGAGCTAACTTCACACAAGTCCAAATCGATGTTCAAGGAATGGCTGGTCGGTTGACAAGCTTGGAGATCAACCATGATGGGCTGCGAGAAGAGCTTGTGGCTCTCATCACCAACACCATCTCCGAATCCATGAACAACACCATTGAAGTTGTGAAAGAGCATGTCCAGGCTGAGCTGGTCGGTGTGAAGGAGGAGAATGTAGACCTCAAGAGTGAGGTCACTCTCATGAAGAGAGCCATGGCTAGCAGAACAACCCTGGTGCAATCCGTCCCACGTGCTGATGTTCCAAGACCGAAGAACTTCGGAGGTTCAAGGAACGCGAGGGAGTTAGAGAACTTCCTTTGGAGTCTTGAGCAGTACTTCAAGGCATCCGACATCTAAGAGGATGGGGTAAAACTTTGTACCGCTCCACTATACTTGGTCGATGTTGCAATGGTGTGGTGGAGGCGACGTGAAGCGGACGTCGAAAGAGGTACGTGTGTGATGGTAACCTGGGAAGATTTCAAGAGAGAAATTAAGAAGCAGTTCTACCCGGAGAACGTGGAGTTTGAAGCCCGTTCAAAGTTGAGAAGACTCACCCAGAGGGGTGGAGTTCGAGAATATGTGAAAGAATTCTCGGAGCTGCTTCTAGAGATGCCCGACATCACGGACAAGGAGGCCATGCACGACTTTCGTGATGGGCTGCAACCATCGGCCAAGATGGAGATGCAACATCGAGGAGTGCAAGACCTTGCTTCTGCCATGGCCACGACGGAGTATTTTGTTGAGTTCAAAAGGCAAGAGAGCAGTAGCAAAGAGAATGGTTCAAAGCCTAAAAAGGGTGGAGAACAACAGAAGCCTTTCAAGGAGGGGACTCGCACTCAACAGCACCAAGGTGGTTCAAGCATAGGGGGTAAGTACGAACCAAAGCCCGCGTCTTGCTTCCTTTGCGATGGACCACATCGAGTGTGAGACTGCTCAAGGAAGGCGAGGTTGGCGGCCATGGAAGCTCAAGATGAAGAGCCTAAGGCGGCGGAGGCCAAGATTGGCTCAATCTGCAAGCTTGGCGCGGTGAAGACCGACGTCAAGGAGAGCAAGTGTGGGAGTTGCTACTTTCTGGCGCAATTCATGCAACGCGAGTCAAAAGATTTGGTGGATACCGGTGCCACTGACAATTTCCTTCGCATCGAGGAGGCAAACCAGCTGGGTATTGCCTACGAGAAGGGGCAAGGGAGGCTAAAGACGATCAACTCGGAGTCCATCCCGATCCATGGAGTCTTTCACAACGTGCCAGTGAAGCTTGGCGAGTTGGAAGGCCTCATCGACTTTTCCGTCGTCGCCATGGACGATCACCCAGTCATCCTCGGCATCAACTTCCTCAACAAGGAGGGAGTGCTCTTGAAGCCCAACTCCAACACGATGTGCTTGGAGAAGGAAGGGGAGTTCCATGTGGTCCATCTCTTGAGAGAAGATGGCCCCCATAGTGCTCTATCCGCTATGCAGGTATTGAAGGGGTTCAAGAAGAATGAACCAACCTTTCTTGTGTCCTTGAAAATGAAGGAAGAAGGAGGCTCAACGGGAATCACAACTCCCATCATCGAAGGCGTCCTCGAAGAGTTCGATGACGTGATTCCATCGGAGTTGCCCAAGAATATGCCACCAAGAAGAGAGGTGGATTAAAATATCGAGTTGGAGCCAGGAGCGAAGCCCCCTTCGCAAGCACCATACCGCATGGCGCCACCGGAGTTAGAAGAGTTGCGGAGGCAGCTCAAGGACTTGGTGGACGCAGGCTATATGCGGCCATCGAAGTCACCTTTTGCATCACCAGTGTTGTTCCAAAAGAAGAAGGAAGGGTTGTTGCGGATGTGCATCGACTATAGAGCCATCAACAAGTTGACGGTGAAGAACAAGTGGCCGATTCCCAACATTGCCGACTTGTTCGACCATCTTGGAGATGCGATGTGGTTCACCAAGCTTGATCTTTGCTCGAGCTACTATCAAGTGCGGATAGCTGAGGGCGACGAGCCAAAGACGACTTGTGTGAAGAGGTATTGCTCTTATGAGTTTCTTGTGATGCCATTCGGTCTTACCAACGCACCAACCACGTTTTTCACTTTGATGAATCAAGTGTTCGAGCCATTCTTGGACCGTTTTGTCGTGGTCTACTTGGATGACATCGTAGTGTATAGCAAAACACTGATGAGCATGCCGAGCATCTACGCCAAGTCTTCCAAGTCCTTCGCGACAACGAGTTGTATGTCAAGAGGGAGAAGTGCATATTTCCCGCCACAGAGGTTCCATTCTTGGAGCACATCATTGGTGGAGGCAAGTTGAAGATGGATGGGGCGAAGGTGGAGGAAATCCAAGAATGGGAGCCGCCGACGAAGGTGCCAGAATTGATGTCATTCCTCGGCCTTGCCAACTACTATCGGAGGTTTATCAAGGGCTACTCCAACATTGCAGCACCCTTGACGGATCTCTTGAAGAAGAACAAGGCGTGGGAGTGGTCGGATCGGTGCCAAGAAGCATTCGAGGCCTTGAAGGCAGCGGTGATGAAGGAGCCCGTGCTCGTGCTCCCCAACGCAACGTTGGCCTACGAAGTGCAGACCGATGCATCCGACTTCACGATTGGTGGTGTGTTGATGCAAGATGGGCATCCCATTGCCTTCGAGAGTCGGAAGCTCAGCGAGACGGAGAGGCGATACACCATCCAAGAGAAGGATATGACGGTTGTGGTGCATTGCTTGCGCACGTGGATGCACTACTTGTTGGGGTCGAAGTTCGTAGTGAAGACGGACAACGTTGCAACGAGCTACTTTCTGACGCAGAAGAAGCTCACCCCTAAGCAAGCGAGATGGCAATACTTTTTGGCCGAGTTCGATTTCATCATGGAGTACAAACTAGGCAAGGCGAACTCCGTTGCAGATTCTCTTAGCCGCAAGAGTGCAGCCGCAAGCATCAACCAGCCCATGTTTCCTTTGAAGGAGCGGATCGTCGAAGGCCTTGGCCATGACCCCTTCGCCAAAACCGTAGCGGAGTACATAGAGCAAGGTAAGACTCGACGGTTTTGGATGAAGGATGGGCTCATCATGACCAAGGGGGAGCTTGTGTTCGTGCCAAGATGGGCCAACTTGAGGAAGGAGATCATGAAGGAGTGCCATGATTCCAAGTGGGCGGGCCATCCGGCATCGAGAGAACGCAAGCGCTCATCGAAGAAGCATACTTCTGGCACACAAGACAAGATGGAGCAGAGAAGCCCGAAAAGCTTGCTAGAGCCCTTGCCCATGACTCAACGACCATGGGAGAGTGTAAGCATGGACTTCATCATCGGACTTCCCAAAGTCGACGGATGCGGTTGCATCATGGTTGTGGTGGACAGGTTCTCGAAGTATGGAGTGTTCATTCCTGGGCCAAAAGATATGACGGCAGAGGATGCAGCGTGTCTATTCTTCAAGAACATGGTCAAGTATTGGGGCATTCCTAGCGACAGAGATGGGCGCTTCACGGGCCGATTT